ATACGTCTGGGTGCCATGTTTAGACAGTTCTATAACTAGGCCTACTTCTCATACTCTGAACAAACCTCTAGTCCTAAGAATGAAACATTTGTGATACGGACATGAATAATATTTTAAATTGAGCAGGTTGTTGTACTATTCAAGTTCTGCAATTTTAAAGAGATAGCTCTTTAAAACTGACAAATTCTCTCCTTTGCTCAGCCTTATGTCATTCATTCATATCCAGAATACAACAGAAGATATTTAAAAACACAGATTTATATAAAAACGTGTTTGTACTGCGACTGCAATGCTTTATTAAAAGCCCATCTTGCCAGCAGTGAATTACCTCTAACTAGAGGACTCTGCAGCAGGGGGGGATGTCCTTACATACAAATAGAGAAATAGATTCCAATCCTTCTTTTGATCCTGAGTGTAGACAGCATGTAATAGGATCCACACGTTCAGTCTGGCTGAGTGACTGGCTCAATGCTTAACAGAAAAGTACAGGGGTCTTAAATACGTCTGGGTGCCATGTTTAGACAGTTCTATTACTAGGCCTGCTTCTCATACTCTGAACAAACCTCTAGTCCTAAGAATGAAACATTTGTGATACGGACATGAATAATATTTTAAATTGAGCAGGTTGTTGTACTATTCAAGTTCTGCAATTTTAAAGAGATAGCTCTTTAAAACTGACAAATTCTCTCCTTTGCTCAGCCTTATGTCATTCATTCATATCCAGAATACAACAGAAGATATTTAAAAACACAGATTTATATAAAAACGTGTTTGTACTGCGACTGCAATGCTTTATTAAAAGCCCATCTTGCCAGCAGTGAATTACCCCTAAAAGCAACCATATAGCAACTCCCTGATAACCTCATACAGGCACATTTTCTACAGGCATGCACATTTTACTTACATTTTTCTTCAATAAAATATAAAAATAGGTGCTATTCTAACAAGAGCATGTATTCATTTATGCATGCAGATACATTTGCATAAACACACCTGCTTGCATAACTCCATTACAGTTATAATTTGTGATTAGAATTCCACGCTCGCTCTGCCCGAACAGCTGAGGCCTCCTCTGGATCTGTGTCATACAACATTAAAAAAGAGAAAAGTTCAAATCAAAGCCGTTGTCATGGCAACTGCCATTCCTGCCCACCAAAACGAACTCCCCACCCCCCCACAGGTTCCACTGATCGATAGGATATTGTGAGGGTGGAACAAACCCAAAACAACCAGTAACCTACATACTAGTTATGCACCATAGCCTATATGCCACATAAAGAGAAGGGGGCCGACGGACCATCCATCATCCACTGAAGAGGAGGAGGAAACAAAAGAAAGAAAATTTAATTAAGGAAGAGTAGAGGGTTGAAAAGAAAGAAAAGAGACAAAAATATAAAATACAGACAGAAAAGAGGGAGATCAAATCGGCTATCGGACAAAAAAAGATGGCTTATTTGTTGGGGAATGGGCTGCTTGCCCATATTTACCTGCTCTTCTTGCTGTTGGCCGCTGGGTCTCATGTGCAACTTGTCCATGGAGGTAAGATGACTTTTCTTGCGCTTTCTTCCAGATGATAGATGCTTTGTTTGGACATCGTGTCAGAGGTATTGGTTTTGTAACTCTGGGTTTCATCTATTGGATGATAGAAAATAATGAGTGTGGAGTGTGAAGTCTGCATTTTGCAAACTTACATGTTAAGAGATCAGTAGATTTTAACATATCAGTTTAACTTCAATTCATCAAGATTTTTTAGAGCATGTTTAAGCATGTTTTCGAATAAAAAAAAAAAAGCCCACATATTTTCTATCAAAGACAATGACATACCTAATCATGTCTGGTTTTAAGAGACAATTATATTGTTTGAATCTGATGACAAAATTTATTTTCATCAGCCATTGAGCCTTTTCTTTCATTTCTATTATTATGTTGTATTTCATTACAGATCTGTTTTATGATTCATAACGGCTTGTACTTTATGTGGTAACAAGTAATAGGAAACCAGGGCACTATAAGTGGTTTGTTCACACGCACACCAATACAAACAAAAGCATGCACACAAGCGGCTCATGGCATTTCCGAGAACTCTGCAATGACACCCAGTCCAGTGTTCAAGCAAATGCGCTAGGTTGGATGATCATGAGAGTCCAGATTCACTTGCCCATTATGAAAACACATTCTGTTTAAAAACACTTGTTCCCTTCTGGGCAAAAAGGAGGGTTAAGATAGTTCTACTATATGTGTAGTTTTAACAATGTAAAATTTTAACATTTAAATGTTGTTTCAATATACAGAGGAGTCCAAAAGCCAGAGACTATATTGTAAATCTGATTCAGAATCTAGCACAAAGAAGTCAAGTCACCTTAATTTATATAGCACTTTATATAAAACACTAGCAAACATAAAGTTCTGAAAAGTCTGAAAAAGAAAAAATGGCATCAAATGAAGAAGAAATATTTAAGATAATCTCATCTATAATTATAGGAAATTGTGTATCATTAATAATAAAATATATTTATTATGTTATTGTACACTTTTAAAAATGCTGGGTAAAATACAACAAAGTGTTGCATGGGTAAAATAGGGACAAACCCAGCAATTGGGTTGTTTTGACTCAGCGGTTGGGTTACTACCTAGAAGGATGGGTTAAACGTATATCATAATTATGTACAGTATTCTGTTCAAATGTTTGGGGTACATTTAAAAAAAATACTTTTATTTAGCAAGGGTGCATTAAATTGATTCAAAGTTTATTACAGAAGATTTCTATATTTCAAATAAATGCTAAATGCTTTCTTCAGGTGAGATGCATTGGGGGGGAACTCCGTTTATTTTATTTTATATGATTTTTTATTCATTTTTAATATTTATTTTTATTCTTAAAATAAATGTTTCAAATTAAAATTTTTTTTTTTTTGCAGAACATTCTCTTTTACCATACAACAACAGTACAGTGACAATGACTGGCAAGCTTAAAAACAGATACAAATAGAATACTTAAAATTAAAATGTCTTTTTTTGCCAGGTGAGATGCATTGGGGGGGAACTCCGTTTATTTTATTTTATATGATTTTTTATTCATTTTTAATATTTATTTTTATTCTTAAAATAAATGTTTCAAATTAAAATATTTTTTTTTTGCGGAACATTCTCTTTTACCATACAACAACAGTACAGTGACAATGACTGCCAAGCTTAAAAACAGATACAAATAGAATACTTAAAATTAAAATGTCTTTTTTTGTGTGTGTTTGAATAAATAAAATAAAACAAAATAAAAGCACTGAACACATATTTATATTATTTAGGTAAATAATAAACCTAAACTAGGATTGTAAAGCATCAAAAACATTTTCCTTACAAAAGCATGTGAGGTGGAAGATTTTGTTGCTCTTTAACTTTCTAAGCACTGCAAAATATACATTTTTAGGGGGGAAAAATACATGCAGTGCTGTATCATCCCAACATATTGGCCTAAAACATGTTAGAACATGACCAGTTATGAGAACATTCCCATCCCACACATGTCCAAGACTCTCTCTAATGGCCAGCGCTGGAACTGCAACCTTCCTGCTGTCAGCAGCTCAGGCCCAAAAGCAGATAAGACCAATGAAACACAACAGCAATATTTAAAAAATGAACTCTCTGCTCTTATGTAAATCAGCTTTATACCGAGAAGGGCCCAATAGGGTGATGTTACAATGGTGATGTGTGGCTAGTGTGAGAAGACGTTTTGGCTGCAAGAACACATGCCACCTACTCATTTATTTGGAATGAGCTGAAGTTTTTTGTTTGGGGTTTTATTTCCTATAGTGATCCAAAGGATAAGATGACAATCAGATATATCAGAATTTAAAAAAAGGAAAACAAGGCAAATAAGGCAGTGACAGCATTAAACTACAGCTGTAAACACCACAACAAAATGCATTATTATAAAAATGTATATTTCCATAAGTGTTAAATGCATATTATTTTATTAGGTGACAATCTAATTTGGCTCACAGAGTCATTGGATGTCAGGGTAGCAGAAAATGTTGGCACTCATTCAATTCATGATCTGAAATATGAATTGAATTAGACACACCCAACAGGAAGCTGAGTTGGAATTCAAATCATAATGACAGGAAGACGAACTGCAATGCATCCAACACAAGTTTAGAAATAAGCATAAGTAGTTACACCATTATTTTTGAATAATCATGCATATTTATTTCCTGGTATGTAGAACATGCCATATTTACACAACATCCTATTTTTTTTTTGTTCTCAACCAGTTAGAAATATTTCTCAAAACTACTTCCAAAATAGTTAATACAGCCAAAACATTCACCACAATGTTGTCAGCTAACTTAAATTAATAAAATTAATTTAAGAAATATAAAATTATCGAATATTCTGCTGTGAATATCTTCCTTTGTTTTCCATGAAGGAAAGGAAATAATAATAATAATAATAATAATAATAAAAAAAAATGTTAATCCGGCCAAAGCATTACAGCCAAACGTTCACCACAATTTTGTCAGCTAACTTTATAAAAATAAATAAAGTTAACCAAGTTCATTTTAAATAATCTGTTAATTAATTAATTATTATTATTAATTTTATTAATGTATTGTTTTTAATGAAGTTAATTGATTAATTATTCATGTATTGAATATTTTGCAACGAATATCTCCTTTTGTGTTCCATGAAAGAACGTTTTGTAAATAATGACAAATTTCTACACTACAGCCAAAATGTTGTCAGCTAACTTTATAAAAACATTTATTTATTAAATATGAAATAAAAATTAAGGTTTAAAAAAGTATTAAATATATGAAAGTACTATAATAATACTACTAATTACACATTAATACAATAATATACATTTAAATAATAGAATGTAATACAATTTAAAATTACAGTTATGACTTTGCTTTATTGTTTGCCACCTTTAAACTCAGGCACTGAATTAAAATGTACAATTTGTGTAAGATACACTGAATGAACCTTGATGGACCCATTTTCTTCTGTTTTGCAGATATCTGTATTGTGGTGAACTCACACTGCAGTTAGACCAGGCCACTCCACTGCACAGACTGGCTGCCAAGTACGGCATCTCCAGCCTCCAGCAAGGACTAACCCAGTACATGAGCCAGAACCTGGCCAGCGATTCTCTGGGTGGTCACGTGGTGGGCTGGTACCAGTATGCCATGTCAGTTGGTGACACGGTGCTGAAAGACAACTGCCTTCAGTTTTTATCGTGGAATCTGTCAGCAGTGCTTCAGAGTGACGAATGGCCGTCGGTTAGTGTTGACTTGCTAATGGCTCTCCTGCAGCGCTCCGATTTAGTATTGAAGAACGAGCTGGAATTGTTTGAGGCGCTTGAAATCTGGCTCACCCAGAACGACCTGGATACCCTGACAGCAGAGAACGCCCTTCGACTGGTGCGCTATGCCATGATCCCTCCACTCGAACTCTTCCGCTTGCAGCAACAGTCGCCGATCATGATACGCTACCACGAGTCGGTGCGTGATCTTCTCTACATCTCGTACCAGTTCCATTCAGCTTCACCACTTCACCTGGCCAAGTTCTTCGACGTAAACTGCAGCCTCTTCGTGCCCCGCAACTATCTCTCATCCATGTGGGGATCTCAGTGGATCATAAGCAACCCGGCACGGGACGACCGCAGCATTAGTTTCCAGACCCAGTTGGGCCCGAGCGGTTTTGACTCCAGTAAGCGGGTGACATGGAACGCCCTGTTCTCGCCCCGCTGGCTCCCTCTCAGCATGCGGCCCATGTACACAGAGCAAGGGGCCATGCAGCCACCGCGGCCCGATGGAGGAAATGGCATTGCCCGGCCTCGTATCATCATCACACCTGCAACTTCCAGTGCAGATTTTGCAGGTGTCAGCTGCCAAAAGACGGTGCTCATCTTGACAAAGCAGAAGAACAAGCTTGTGGTGCGGCATATCTTTGGTTTCCACCAAAGCACAGAGGAGGTGGGGGACTTCCTGGCTGACGTGGACCTGCAAAATCGCACATCTGAGTACCTGGTGGATGGATCGCTGTACTTGCAGATCATTGTAAAGCCTATCTACCAGACTCTCATAGCAACCAAGAAATAATGTAACAAGCACATTGAAGTAGGATATATTTGAGATTTAGTCTAAACTTTTTTTGATGCATGGAAGAAAACGTTTGTGATTGTTAATGTGATTAACGCTAATGAAGTGCATCTCCCCTGTCCTTATAATGTAGGCTACTGTAAATTAGAGGTTTACTCTGGAAAAAAAATTAAATGCACTAATCCACATGTACAAAATTTAAGGGACAGTTCACCTAAAATGTAAAGTTCTGTCATCATTTACTCACCCTTGTTTCATTCCAAACCTGTATGACTTTCTTTCTTTCATGGAACACAAAAGGAAATGTTTTGAGGAATGTTAATGCTGCTCTCTTTTATATAGTGAAAGTGGATGGAGAACAGGATGTGTCAAGCTCTAAAAAGCACAAAAACACTATACATACATCTTAACAGTATTCATATGAGTCATGCACTACATTCTAAGTTTTCTAAATATTTTATGTGTGAAGAACAGATTGAAATTTAAAGGGGTCATATGATGTTGCTAAAAAGAACATTATTTTGTGTATTTGGTGTAATGAAATGTGTTTATGCGGTTTAAAGTTCAAAAAACACATTATTTTCCACATACTGTACATTATTGTTTCTCCTCTATGCCCCGCCTTTTTGAAACGCGTCGATTTTTACAAAGCTCATCGGTCTGAAAAGGCGAGGTGTGCTCTGATTGGCCAGCTATCCATTGCGTTGTGATTGGCCAAATACCTCAAGCGTGAGTCGGAAATGTTACGCCCCTCACATACTGTTGATGCTGTGTCCGGCCGGAGCGACGAGAAAAAAACATTAAAACCCATTACAAACGAGGCATTTGTTGCATCCAGTGGGGACATAATTACTGATTATAATGACTTATACTGTCTTTTTACGCGTTGCGTTGCATTGCATCGTGCCACGTAAACATAAAACTCTGTCTGCATTTGTGATCGGAGAAATGACAAACAACAAGGTCAAATTTGCGTTTGAATCATCAGTGGCAAATCCTTTAAATGAAAACGTACTTACAAACGTACTTAGTCAGAACTGCCGGCATTGTAGTCTAACCCGGGCTGGACTCCACTTTGTCTACGGTGAAAGTTGATGTATTCCCTCAGCGACCAGCACAGATCAGCTCTAGGCATGACGAAGCGGATATCGTCCTCTTTTGGAAGACCAAACAAAGTAGTTTCGCTTTCACAACCAAGCACACAGTGCCTTCACGACATAGCTGCAGCGTCAACAATACTAAAGCGAGAATAAAAGTTACGCCTTCTTTCTTTGCGTGAACATTTGGGCGGCGTTATGCAAATCTTCCCAGATAGTGATGTAGATATGTGGGGGCGTGTTAGAACGAGCCGTTTTAGGTAGGTGTGGCTGACTCTGAACTTTTATAAAGAATATCTCTTTGGATTTGAGACTTTAGTCTTTGTAACTTTACAGATCTTCTTTATGCACCAAGAGCTTGTAACACTCCAAAGAGAAAGGAAAAATTGAAATCGCATCATATGACCCCTTTAAGTTGAAAATGTTACCTTGATTGTTAGCTGTGGTCACCATTTACTGGCATTGTATGGAGAAGAACAGCTTTGAAAATCTGCTACAAATATCTCCTTTTGCTTTACATGAAGGAAAGGAAATAAAAGTTTTGTAAATTAGGACACAATTTTAATTTTTGAGTAATGATTGCTTTAATATAGGCCGTGACATACACTAGTGTCCCAGATATAACTCATATCAAAGGTATTTTTTTAACTTGATTAGGCAGAAGCCCTTACCTTTTTAGGAAAACCAATTTCTGTATATTCACCACAACATCATTTGTCCACACTGGACTCAATGGACAAAGAAAGTGAAAGTGCACATGACTCTAAACCAGAGTGTTGAATTTAGCATAAATAATAGCCTAATGTATATCGCAAAGAAGAAACACAATTACACATTATTCTTAAAGTTTAAAGTTGTATTTAAAGTGTTTCAAGGTGCTATTGTTAAAGAGGAATATCAAATCTCTTTCAAACCTGTAATGTCTTGAAATGTTGCACAGTTGTGATAGTTAATTATTTAAACCAGCAAGTGATGTTATAGGCTATAAATAATTATTCTTAGTTATTTTTCTGTATTATCCTATCTTTGTGCCCATAATAATATTTTCTGAGAGGCCTATCAGTTTCCTTGCATGTTGTGATGTATGTTTAGTATTCACTCCCCTGTGCACAACACAATAAAACACATGATGCTTTCACAAAAGCTTGAGTCTATCATTGATTATGAAGGTAAAAGAAAGAAGACAAAAGACTTTAGACACACGGTCATCATGCTTCGATCAGTTCTGTCATACTAAGAGGTCACGTTTTATTGAGTGTACAGATATTCTCTTACAAAACAGTAACAGTGCAATCCTATTCACGAACAAAACACTTATAAACCGGTTCTTTTCACTGAAGCAATAAAGAAGACTGTAGTCCGATTCACGAAAGAATGTTTTTTTTCTTTTTCCCCGATTTTTCTGCATTTTTTATTTTTGTGATCACGAAATGTCAACAAATGTGAGTTTTCACACAAGTATATTGTAACATGCATATTTATGATAATATCACTTGTGAGGCTCATAAATTAAGAAAGACTATTTTAAAATGCTTAAATCGATTTAGTGGGGTTCAAAGGTCTGAGAAAATGCTTTTTGCATTGAATTTCTTTAATGCAATTTTATTGATGTATTCCCAGTGTGCAATTGATGTCAAAAAGACGTCAAATTGACATCAAACATAGACGTCAAAAAACAGGTCAAAAACGCAAATCAAATTGATGTCAAAAACTTGATGTCAATTTGACGTCCACACATGTCCTATTCTAGCCCAAAATTAAATAAAAATAAAATTGATTTCATAGGACCATACATTGCATCTTGATCAGTTGAAAAGGAAATCAGGATAACAGGGAAGCCTGTTTTTGCTCATCAGACATGAAATGTCAATGATTTTTTAATGTGAAAAATTAGGCCTAATGTAAATTTTACAATAATTAACTGGTAATTGTAGTTGTAATACTGTAAATGGTGGTTTTACAATTATATTGTAATAACAGCAAATGTATTGTAATTAATTATACAGTATTATGATAGCACTATAAATAAAAAAAATAATTCAAATATTTAAAAAAATATTAAAAAGTATTTTTGGTCAATTTTATAATCACTCCACTGTTTACCTTCATTTTTTTCTCTCTAACTATTGAAGTTACAAGTCCACATACAGCAGCTGTGTTCCATGCACAAATCCAACACATCACGGTTCAAAAGATGAAATGGATGCGTTTCAAAACCTCAGTTAAGAAAACAAAAAAGCTATTTAAACTTAATCAAGCTAACTACAAATTCATATTACACCATAACTTTACATACATCCTGATTAAACATACTAATCATTGATGTCAATGTGACGTCAATATGACATCAATTGGACGTTTAAAACTTGATGTTGATTTGACGTATATTGAACGTCAAACATATTGGCCTACATAAAAATTAAACCAATTTCAGTGCAGGATAACCTCCTAATTTTACCCAATTAACCACCAGAAGAAATGGCAATAAAGCTGAACTTCAAATGATGCTTTACAGCATCTTGATCAAATCTTGACTAATTTTTGACGTCAAATTGACATTAAGGTGCCCACTGGGTTATAATAAATTTGTTTATATTTGATTAGTGACTTAGAAACAGTGGAGAATCTTTCACCTTCATTTTGCATCATAATGATTTTTGAAGTGAACACTTGCAACTTTAAATAGAATTTTTATGTGTTCCTCTCAGACTTTTGAACTCCCTTTTTTGTTTTTATTGCAGTAAACAACAAGGATTACAGTACGTACACTGTAAAAAATGACCGTGAATTTAACGGTAAAAGACTGTAAAATGCTACAGCAAAAACCTGTTAAATGGTTAACGGTAAATTCCCCTACTATATACGGTGAAAAACTGTATTGAACATTACATGTATTCGACATGTAATTTTACAGTAGGATACCGTTTTTGGAAATGAAGAAGGCTGTATAATTTACAGTGAATAACCGTAAATTGACATTCCCAGAATTCCCTGCGTTACATTTCATATTTGATGTTTTTTTGTTGAAATAACTGTTTCTTCTTAGTTTTTTCTTATCAGTTTTGTATATTAGGGTTGTGTGTGACACCTAATGTTGTTAAATGAATGTTTATTGCATTATTTCAGTTTCACGTGTGTCACCGTGATGGTGTTTGGTGTTTGTGTGAATGACACACTGTGCAGCTTCTATATATGTTATTATTTAAAAGCTGCTTGTGATGGGCTTTGGTTCATCATCTGACTTTCTCAGCACCTCCTGCATTGGGTGGTTATCAGTGTATTACAAAGGTACAAAACAGATTTCAGTACTACAATATGTTGGTATATTAACATTATATCAGTTAATGAAATTACGGTATTTAACTGTAAATTTAAGTTAAAACGGTAAAACCTAAAACGTCGCTACCGTATTTTTTACGGTTAAATTCCGGCAACCACAGCTGCCGGTTTTTTACCGTAAATTTTACGGAATATTTTTTACAGTGTACAAAACAAACAGTAAAAAACAGTACGTACAAAACATACAAAATACCAATCAATAATAACTACTTGAGGATTAATAGATAAAACATCACAGAAAAAAATCTATATAATATAAAAATTCTTAAGGACAGAAGAAAAAAGAGCACACAAATAGAAATACAAGTATATTAGGAAAAAAATCTTAAACATGGCACAAGTTCTAGATGTTTTTATAGCTTTCTTGTTAACAGACGTTGAAAATGTATTTAAATACAACTTCAGTTCTTGTCTGAAGATGTTAAAGTGGGGTTTACATTTAGTATATTAACATTTATGGACATACAACTTTCCAATATTTGCTATTTGCTTTATATAGCAACTAGTTTAAACATAAATATAAATGTATTGAATGGGTACTCCTTAAAGGGATAATTCACCCAATGTTCAGTGTTTTACTCACCCTCATGTACTTCCAAACCTGTATGCATTTCCTTCTTGTGTGGAGAAAAAAAAAAAAAAATATATATATATATTTTGAAAAGTTGTTTCAGATTTTTGGACTGTTTTCACTTCTAAACATTGCTTGATCTGTGCATATTTCTCTCCTGATCCAGACGAGACAACCTTTTCACTAGAAATATCATATTTTAGTTGGAAGTTATTAATGATGGATTTGTTTATTACAAACACACAGCTTTTCACTTTACAAGATGTTAATTGATTGACTCGATTTGTTGTCGATTATTGTGATGTTTTATCGGCTGTTTGGACTCTCGTTCTGACGGCACCCATTCACTGCAGTTCTAGATGTTTTTATAGCTTTCTTGTTAACAGACGTTGAAAATGTATTTAAATACAACTTCAGTTCTTGTCTGAAGATGTTAAAGTGGGGTTTACATTTAGTATATTAACATTTATGGACATA